TTGGCCGAATGGAATGGAGTTTCTCTGTTCATACAGACGCAGCAGTACACACCGGGTTTGCTGCCATTTTCGGCAACCACTGTTTTAGGGATAACTGGCCTACTGAGACGGATGCCTTGCCGGCCTTTATAGAAACGTCCTTATTGTTAGAAAATTTACCCCATAGTGGCGGCTGCCCATACATGGGGTCATCTCTGGATCGGCCGTGCAGGTGCTACTAAGACAATTAAGCTGCCTGTGAAATTATCAACAAGGGGCGGTCCACAACCACTCAGTTTCACCTAGTCTGCATTCACATTACTGGTATCCGTAACACAGCTGCTTACGCTCTTTCCCGCTCTTATTTTCAGGTATTCTTCCAGGCACTCCACACGGCCCACCACATCCCATCCAGGATGCCACCTTTTCACAAGCTAATCATGGACTAATTGAGCTACTACGTCACGCTCAGGCACTCACGCACCACGCACTCTCACCCAACACCACTACCACTTACGCTAGGGCACGGACTATCTTCAATAAGTTTACTGCGGAGTTTTAATTGCAAGTAGACGTCTCCATTAAAACCATGGTTGCTTTTGCCTCCTTCTGTCACCTACACCTCAGATTATCCCATAATACCATTAATCTTTACCTCACAGGGGTACAACACCACGTCCTCACTAACTAACTAAGAAATCCTCTATTTACTATACTTACATACCACGACCGGAGAGGGAGCTTCGACAAGCTTTCAGAAGTCTAGCCTTGTAACTTGCAATACAGTGTGTTTTCCTTGAATCCTTATTTTGCCCTCCTTTTATGACAGCCCTACTCGTACATTGGCTTCGGCACACCTCAACCAACTTTACATCTTCGAATACATTCCATAACCTATTAGAAATTCTGAGCACACGTTAAAAGGACATTAGGCCTGAATTTGTGGAAGGAAGTATGGCCTCTACTTAAACTCCTAGCCCCTACTCACATCTGCCATTCAAGCTGATTGACCCCACCCACCTACACCTATATGTTACATTTCACCTTTGTGGACCCTCTTTTTATTACCGGCCTACTAGTACATCTTCTTCTGATATTCCATAACCTATTAGAAATTCTGAGCACATATATATATATATATATATATATATATATATTGTAACGGACCGTTTTGCACACAAGGGGTAAAAACCGTTCAGGCGATCGGCCCCCTTTCCAGAGATCCAGGCACAGCTACTGCAGAACACCAAGCTCCCGAACTGGATACAAAATAGCACTCCAACTCCCGAACTGGAACCTCACGAATAGCTGCCAGCAGACGAACAGGAAAAGCTCCCAAGCGGCTTACACTCCTGGCAATCAGTCTCCAACAGCATACAGTGAATCCCCCCAAGAACGAGACAAGGCTCCGTGTTGAGGGTCAAGCAGTGGTCTGAGGTGCTGGCACACCCAGCCTGGTTTTTATTACAGTCTTGCAAATACAGGACCGCCCACAGGGAGGTATAAAACAACCAATCACATCACAGTTACATCCCACATATTCCCTCCCCTTATCCTGAGAGGAAACTCAATTATACATACAGTTAAAACATACTTTCTACCCAACTTTCATAACTCTAAAACCATACATCACATTCACATAAAATTACATATTCGCAATCAATCCATTCAGGGGAACAACATATTCAAAAATGGCATGAATCAGACCAGGGGTTCAAAAGTTAGTAAAAAGTCCTTTGTGACTAAATGAAGCATGGCTTTCTGGCCCAAACCAGTTTCAGAGTCTTCTATCCTGGAGAGTAATTCAATTATCTCCCAGGATAGACACAAGACTCCATTAAGCACATGGTTGCAAAAAGACACAAAACACTTTAAAATACATAAAGTCACATTTTATACATAAAACACAGACATTTCACATATCCCCAGATAGCTCAGGTCTGAGCGCACATTATTAAGTGAATGGCGCTCGGACCACACAAATACAGTTTAATCGCCATGGAGCCAAAGTCTTTACAGTCAGTTTCATACGAATGGGCTCCATGGGATTCCTATCTGGGGTATAACACATTCAAACAAATCTACCGAACCCCAGGCAGAAAAGCACGAATTGAAGCTTTTCTGCAGGTAAAAAAGATGTCTTTTAACAGGGGGCCATAGTCCAAAGGCAGCAGGCGAGTAACCAGGCTTCTCCAATGCAATGTGGCGAGATTGGTCTCGTCACATATATATATATACACACACACACACACACACAATTTATATATATAAATTGGAGGGAATTTTTTTTCTTCTAAAAAATAAATAAAAACGCTAATTTGGCTAACATTTGTGACTAAGTGGCTACTACAAAAGACTGTCCATACCCCATTTTGAATACCCTGGGTTGTCTACATCTACATGGCATGCCATGATGGGGTTATTTCACATTCCTGTGCTATGGTCTCAAAAGGCAACACAGACCCAGCAAACCAATCTGGTATACTGAATTGGGCAAGCCCTATAATGACCCTGTAACTTTCCAAAACACCAAAGAACCTGTACATGGGGGCTATTTTTATACTCTGGAGACTTCGCTGAACACAAATATGAGTGTTTAAAACAGTAAAACCTATCACGACGATGAAATCACCAGTAAAAGTGCAGTTTTTGTGTAAAAAAAATGCAAATAACTAATAAAAAAGCAAATTTTGGGGGGCGGAGCCTGACAACGGAACCAAGCGGACGCACAATAGTGGAGCTCCCGCTTGGACAATCATAATCCAGCCAATCTGGGAACACCCAATACCGACTTTGGTCACAGAAGCTGGGTCTAAAACCGGGACAGCCAGCCGAAGCAGCCAATGCCATTTTTTCTTGCGCCCGGCTCCAAAACACGACGCCGAGGCGGTAAGGCCTACCACGCGGGCGGACGGCAGAGAGACTCAGAGGAGGGAATCTGGCCCTGGGGCTCACCTGACTTGGAAGACTGGTACCACAACCTGCCACACACAGGCGCAAGTCTCAGAAACCACCCACACATACCTCAAGGCCACAGCGCGACATAGGCCAGATGTTACAGGCCCCAGGTGCAGCGCGGACCACGTCCCATCGAGACACCTCTCCACTGCCCTCAGAGGAAGGAGAACCACCTGATAGCCCACTCATTCCATGTCATGCAGCTCCCCCACGGGTAACGGAGGATCATTCCCCAGCATCCAGGAGTGATATCCAGGCCATGCTGACAAGCCTGCAACAGAACCTCAGGCAAATGTGGGAGGCTGACCTGGCAGTGCTAAAAGGGGATGTACATGCTGTGACACTACGTACACAAGCCACAGAGAATGAAGAGGAGACCTTGAAACAAGGCCTACAAGAGCTGGGGGAGAAAGTACAAAAACTAACCACCACACAGACTACCCTCTCCAGACAAGTCAACCTACTGGACGACAGGGGGAGACGCAAAAACGTCAAAATCAGAGGGGTACAGGAATCCATACCGCTGGAGGAACTACCACATTTCATCAGACGCCTCGTAGCTGCACTACTTCCAGCCAGACAAGCCAAAACTTTCTTATTCGACGGAGTCTACAGAATTGCGAAATCCCCGCAGGCACCTAGCGCAGCACCGCGAGACATCATACTACGGTGCCAGTCCATGTCAGACAAATTGGGACTTTTAGCAGCGCTCCAGGGAAAGACTCCTATGGAATTTGAGGATTGCCGATTATCCTTTTTTCAGGACCTGAGCAGAGCCACACTACTATGGCGCAAACAAATGCAACCACTTACTAAACCGCTCCACGCAGTAGGCATTACCTACAAGTGGTCGACTCCGGGGACCCTATGGGTTACCAAAGACAACAAGCATTACAAGGCCATGGACCCCTCTGAGGGCCCAGCTCTAATGGCGACACTGGGACTCCCAACTCTGCCGACAACTTCAACGCCACAGCCAGGCCATCGACCCAGGAGGGTGGAAGCAACAACAACAGCTACACCCAGACCCCATGGAGACACCAAGTCCTGAAACGACGCGCTCAGTCTGGGACTCTTGGACTCTTACTAAGACTCTCCTACTAAAGTGTTTAGTAACGTTTACAAGCTTTAGTATTACTGGTTCACCCCTTTCTGTTATAGTGGGATAGCGTCCTATTGGAGGCTCCACTAGCCGGCTCTGGCGACAACTCCCTCCCTCCCCCCCGCACTGCCCTGGGGTAATAGGGTACCACCAGCATGGGAGCTTTACACTCACACATAGTCTAACGCTTTCTTCCTCCCCTCACGCCGTGGGTTCTTTGCCCTTTGGGCGCAGATAGGCTTCCATACAGCTCCCACCCACCTAGACACCTACTAGACTCAAACATTTATCACATCGTGCTTACACACAGCCAAGTTCATCACTATATATAGCTAAGCCACACAGCACACCTCCAATCCAGGCGAGAGCCATGCAGCTTCCGAAGGAAGGTATAATAGACATAAACTAAAACCATATAGGATGCAGCTGAAGGGAACGCCACGACGCTCCACACACCAAACACGGCTCTAGACCTGGACTCCGTACGGAGCAGCATAATCAAACAGATACCGGAGATCAGATGGGGATTTGACCCACACAGACAAAAGCTTATCGGATACTACATGCCCCACTTGCTAGATGGCTTCAAGGTAACTGCGCTGGCACACATAGACGAGTGAACACTCACCCAAAACTTCCACAGTTAAGGCCCACGTTACAACATCCCAGCCCAATATAACTTAAAAAATATATGCGAAATGTATCTCAACAGTATATGCAATGTAGAATGTTCCTGTGAGCCATGTACGTATGGTTGCAGTAATATTAACATGTCTGTCTTTTCATCGCATGAAAAATAAAGATTTAAAAAAAAAAAGCAAATTTTGGCCAGCGTTTGTGACTAAGTGGCTACTACAAAAGATTGGACATATCCCATTTTGAATACCATGGATTGTATACTTTTACAAATGGTTAGCCAGTTAATTTTCAATCCTGGGCTGCTACACGGTCTCAAAGGCAACATAGGCCCAGCAAACCAATCTGGCAAATTTCAATGTGCAAACATGAAAAAGGGAAAGCCCTACATTTGACAGCTGTAAGTTTGCAAAAACCCATAAAACCTGTACATTGGGAGCACTGCTGTACTCAGGAGATGTTGCTGAACACATATTGGGGTGTTCTTTGTCAGTAACACATAACAGGAACTGAGAATCCATGCCTAAAGTACAATGTGAGAGAAAAATAACACAAAAAAATGACTACCCAAAAGTTTGACAAAGACTGGTGGTAGAATTAGTACATGGAAAGTGTTAAAATACCACCCTTTGAAATAGCGTAGGGTGTCTACTTTTCAAAAATATATGCTTTGGTGGGGGTAAATTACATTGGCGGGGGCGTGGTCTGAGGTCCGACCGACATGGACGCCTGAATCCTAAACTCAGCGCCACCAAGCTCCTATTAGCTACCTGCAGCACTAAAGAACTTACCCCATGGGGCGAAACAAGCGAGCAGAGCCTCTCCAAACGCCCAGGGCTGCTCCCACAACACCGCCGACGGGACTGAAGGACGAATTCCTGCAAACCCCGCTGGTCCTACCGGCGGGGCACGTGGCTCCAAGATGGCGCCCGCCTCTCCCACCTCGGCTAACTCAGACCTGGAGCAACCAACACTGGCTGACATAAGGGAAGAATTTAGGAGGCTGGCAGCCTCAATGGTCAAGAAGACAGACCTGCAAAACGTGGCAAATAACCTCACAGCCTCTCTCACTTCAGCGGTATCAGCCCTGCAAACCCACGTGGACGCACAGGGGGGCCCCATCCAGGCGTTCGAAATGCAAGTCCAGGCCGCACAGCAACAAGCTGGTTCGGTAGACACTGCTATAGCAAGACAGGGTAATATGCTGCTTGCCCTGCGCCGCCAAGTCGAAGACTTGGATAACAGGAGCCGCCGCTCCAACATCAGAGGCGTACCAGAGGCGTACCAGAGCCGGACAGGGAAGAGAATGTGGGGACCCTCCTGACAGAGATATTTCGCATGATACTCGTGGACGATGCCCCGGCGGAGCTCAGGTTTGACAGAGCCCACCTGGCCTTGAGGCCTAGGATCCGTGAGGGGGAGTCACGAGATATAATCTGCTGTCTCCATTCCTTTATGCTAAAAGAACAGATCATGAGACAAGCCAGAACACGAGCTACATGGTAAAACCAGGGGTCAGAAATCGCGCGCTACAATGACCTCTACCCGGTCACGCTAGAAGCCAGAAGAGCACTCAGACCCATCACCTCAGCCCTGCGGGAGAGGAATATCCCATACAAGTGGGGATTTCCATTCAGTATCCAGGTTAGGCACCATAATGAATGGATCAAGGCCCGCTGGCTGGAGGAGATACCGCGTTTCTTACAACGCTTGGAACTGCCACCCATGGAGATCACAGACTGGATCCTGGAGCCGCTGGACCACGGTGGAATGAAAGAATGAAAAAACAAAGAAAAATGTAAAATGCAAAAACAAAAAATAGGCACTACCAGCAGGTGTCACCAGAGAGTAAGGTAAGTAATATCTATAAATAGTCTAGATGTATAACATATATTAAATATTATATTAAATAAAATAAGAGAAGAATAAAACAATAATTTTAAAATTAGGGTAAGCAGTAATTATACTGTCTGTTGGTATAAGCTGTGCCAGTGAAGCAACAGCTCTAGTGATACTAGAAGAGTGGGCAGTTGTCTAAATTACTTATCAATTAAAGCCCATCAAAATGTTCTAGATCTTGTTGCAAGTAAAACATCATGACTTTTATTACTTGTATCTTGTCATGTAACGCCTGGGCTTCAGTGTACTTCTCAATAATTAATGGCTCTACTCTAGCTTTAGTTTTCCGCTGGACCGCGGTCAACCACCCCAGGGATCCCAATGCCGTCCCCGAAGGGACTCTCGTGCAGGCGGCTCCTTAAACGTTCCTCAGCATCCGACCAACCCAGAAGAATAACCGACCATCACCACCCACTGAGGTACACCCCTTGCGGACATACGAGGCCGCTGGAGGGTCCATGCAGCCTGAGACCGGCCCCAAAGCAACTTGTGAGTACTCTTTCCACCACACTACATTGACTATAGCCCCACAGACATCACCCTGGGTGGGAATTAGACCCGATGGCGGAGCCTTTTGGGAGGGGGAGAGGGTTAACTTCTACGCAGAATCCCTGTAAGCTTACCTTTGCACCTATAGGTAGGGGACGGGAGGAGGGAAATGGACGTGACACTAGCACCATACGGTATGTGGTGACACTACCCCTGCTATGCCACTACCAAGTGAGACCCACTCGCAGAGAGCTATGAAATACACTTGATGCGAGGGAACACAGCCTCCACACTAAGCTTCTGGCCCCTTCGGAACCGCCCGCCATGCCAGCCACACAGAGGCGGCTCTCTAATTAGGCGATTTAGGCGGCCGCCTAAGGCCTTGCGCAGTTAGTGGGGCGTCGCGGCCGCCTAAATCGCCTGAGGGCAGACTGACATGTCGGGTTCTCGGTCTATGACCAAGGACCCGACACAAGAGGGGGCCCGGCGGCTTGCCCCTCCTGTCAGTCCGCCCGGGGAGAGAGCCAGCCTCAGTCTGCAGCTCCGCCGGTGTTCTATTAGTCTGGTATACTCCGTCAGATTGCTATACCCACGTCACTTCCGGGGAGGGGAATCAGCTGTCTCCTGTGCTGCACATGCGTGCTAGCACTCCTGCTACTCCTCCACAGCAAGGTCCTGGAAGGTAAGTAAAACTAGTTTTACACTTTCATTATAGTTAGTGAATTCACTAAGCTTAGGCACACGGGCTTTTCTGCAGGTAAAAAAGATGTCTTTTAACAGGGGACCATAGTCCAAAGGCAGCAGGCGAGCAACCAGGCTTCTCCAATGCAATGTGGCGAGATTGGTCTCGTCACATCTCTCCCCTTTTCCAAACAGACTAACAGGGTATCTGACCTCCTGCCGGTCAGTGCCCTTGTTAGTCCAGCAGCCCACCCACAAAACAGAAACAGCAGTACAGCCCACCCACAATAACTGGTTACTACACCTGAGTAGGGGAGAATCTTGTCCATGTCCAGGGGCCTCACCACAGCTGTGTGGGGGACTGATAGGCTGCCTTGGTGGGTTGCTGAGTAGGCAGAGACCAGCGGTACTCTGCCCTGATGCCAGTACTACCGCAGGAGTAGTCTGGTTGAAGCCTGGTTGCTGGAGACCGACTGTCTCCCCTTTAGTTACACCGCTCTGCTGCTGGAGACCGACTGTCTCCCCTTTTGTTGCACAGCTCTGCTGCTGGAGGGGGAGACCGACTGTCTCCCCTTTGGATGCTCTAAGCTGTCGCTGGGGAGAGGGGGTAACAGGCTCCTCTCCCGATAGAACACTCTGCCGCTGGGGAAAGGAGACTGAGCTCTCTATTCCCTGCCCATTAATGATCCGCCGCTGGGGAGAGGTGGTAGCAAGCTCCTCTCCCATACATACTTTCATCCTCTGTGGAGGGAGACCGACTGTCTCCGCTCCCAATACAGTGTCCTGCTGCTGGGGAAAGGAGACTGGGCTCTCTATTCCCTGCTGGACACTCTGCCGCTGGGGAATGGAGACTGGGCTCCCAATTCCCTGCTGTATCTCCCGCTGGGGAATGGAGACTGGGCTCCCAAATCCCAATAAATAACACTGCCGCTGGGGGATGGAGACTAGGCTCCCAATTCCCAAAAAATCACGCTGCTGCTGGGGGGGGGAGGACACTGCTCTCCTCTCCCTGGACTTCACACTGCCTTCCCGGCATATCACTTGGCTGCTGGGGGGCAGGAACAACTACCTCTGCCCCCTGTAACTCAGCCTGTCGCTGGGGAGGGAGGACACTGCTCTCCTCTCCCTGTACTTCACACTGCCTTCCCGGCATATCACTCTGCTGCTGGAGGGCAGGAACAACTACCTCTGCCCCCTGTAACTCAGCCTGCCGCTGGGGAGGGAGGACGCTGCTCTCCTCTCCCTGCACTTTACACTGCCGCCGGGGAATGGAGACTGGGCTCCCAATTCCCAATAAATCACACGGCCGCTGGAGAAATGAGACTGGGCTCCCAATTCCCTGCAAGACCGGTGGCGAGACCTCGGTCCCATCTCTACCGGCCACCTGGGGTTCTTCCCAGAAAATATCAACAATGTCTTCCCAGCTGAATGGGTCTGGAACTGGATCTGTCACCTTTCTGTCCTGCTGAATCTTCTCAATGGAGTGGAAGAGATCTCGGTAGTCCTGCTCCAGTTCCCACTCCAGGGTTGCTAGGTGAGCCAGGTCTTGCTCAATGTCGTGAGTGTCGTCCCAGTCATACCTGCTCTCCCTCCACTCCAAGAGATCACTGAACCGGGCTTGTGTAGGGCTCCCAAATTCAGGCTCTGAAAAAGCCTCCCATAACAAGCCAGGACCATTAAACTCCTCTCCCTCTGGCTTGTCATGCTCGGCTGTCCAGGGCAGGTACTGTGCCCCATACCACCAGAGCGCCTGGTATGCATCTTCCAGCCAAATCTCCTGCCATACCCGGTGCTCCAATTCCTTCACCCATTCATCTAGGGGCTGCTCTCCCAGGAAGGGCATCCGCAGGGCCACTTGCTTCTGCAACCGCTGCTCTTCACTGGGGAGACTCTCACCCCGCTGGTACTGTACATTATCCAGGGCCTGGTACCAGATGCCTTTCCTTAATGCATCCCGGCCATCCAGGTCCTCCTCCTCGTATGACACTGCTGGTTCCATGCTGTTGCTGTCAGGGTCGCTGTACTCAGACATGCGTTGCCCTCAAATTGTAAATCCACGGAATGGTGTTGCCTGTAGCTGTCCTGTAGCCTGTGGGAACGATACCGCCGCTTGCCACCAATTGTAACGGACCGTTTTGCACACAAGGGGTAAAAACCGTTTAGGCGATCGGCCCCCTTTCCAGAGATACAGGCACAGCTACTGCAGAACATCAAACTCCCAAACTGGATACAAAATAGCACTCCAACTCCCGAACTGGAACCTCCCAAATAGCTGCTAGCAGACGAACAGGAAAAGCAGACAAGCAGCTTACACTCCTGGCAATCAGTCTCTAACAGCATACAGTGAATCCCCCCAAGAACGAGACAAGGCTCCGTGTTGAGGGTCAAGCAGTGGTCTGAGGTGCTGGCACACCCAGCCTGGTTTTTATTACAGTCTTGCAAATACAGGACCGCCCACAGGGAGGTATAAA